TTATCCAAAAAATTTCAATTTTTTTTCAAATTTTAATTTATAAATTTAAAAAACAAAAATAAAATTTGAAATAAAATAATTATTTGCAGATAAATTGCTCAATTCACATGGACGTGAACAACGGAGAGCGCTTTTCTCATTGAAACAAATTTTTCAAGTAAATATTTAAACATCTCTCTTTTTGTTCGAAAAAAAAAAATTAGAATTTTCCTAATTGTTTAATTTTTTTTTTTTTTGCCCGTTTTATGTACTAATTCGATTTGTTTATTTATTATTGACAATTTTATGATAATAAATAAAAATTCAAAAAAAAAAAAAGAAAAAATAAGCGTGAATAAGAAAATTATTTAAAAAAAAAAATATCACGATTATGCAAGGAGATCAGATACATCGAATCCTCCCTTTTTAGGAGCTACTGCCGATTTTCCTGTTATAGGAGTTGATGATGGTGTACCGTTAGTTGTTGATGGAATAACGGTAGTAGCAATCGATGGTAATGATTGCGATACAGTAACAGAAGCGGGAGAAACAATTGGTGGATTAATTGTATGAGAAGTACAAAGCGATGGAGCGGGTAAAGATGGTCGAAGTAAATAGGGTGAAAATTGTACGGCAGCAGCAGCAGCTGCTGCTTGATGCATTAAAAATTCCCGAGGAAATGGAGTAGCGGGAAAGAAAAATTCGGCAGCGGGATGAAACCCGTAATTTTGAAAGAATGGTGTAAAATGAGGTGGTGGTGGTGGTGGTGGTGGTGGCGGACCGCCGCCTCCGCCTCCGCCTCCGCCGCCACCACCACCACCACCACCACTTCCGATACCAGATGGATGAAAAAATTGAAAATTGGCAGCTTCTTTAGATAGTAATCGATGATGATTCTGGAGGAATTGAAGATGTTGTTGAAGGTTATGATTTTGGGATAGATGATGATTCATAGTTTGTAATGAATCATCAGTAGTACTTTGACTACTTCGAGCACGTTTTGGAAGTGGTGGTGAATCATCGTCATCTGAACGATCTGAATCCATCGAGCTACATGCTCGTACAGCTGGTGATTCAGATGTTGTTACAGGATCATCATTTAGTGAAATTACCGATTTTGTAATACCGATAGCATTAGTACTACATTCCGTTCTATTCATTAATCGTTTCTTTTCACGTTTTCCTGCACCAGCATCACGGAATCCTTTGGCAAACGGATTATTGTCAATTTTAAGTTGTGTAACCTGAAAATGACAAAGCAAACATTTTTTTTCTTTTGGATTATTTTGAATTTTCCCATTATAAAATATTTATCCTAAATGTTAAACTATCAAATGTTATCCATTCATTTGAAATTAAGAATGTGAAAAAGAGAAAACGAATTTATTGATAAGATTATAGATAAGGAATGATTAATGATGGTGCATTATTATGGAAGGAAAAAAGAAACACTGTTAAAACTGATATGTTGATTATGTTATATGCAAATGAAAATATATTTAATATAGACTTTTTTTTTTTGTTTTTTAAATTTTCCAAAAAAAAATTTCAACAATTAGTTATTTGCGGAGAAATTAGGAAGAAAATATAAATGAAAGCTAAATGGCTTATTTAAATTTTTCTAAAATATTGTTTTCAATAAAAAAAAAAAATTAAGTAAATGAATGGAACACTTGGCTGCAAAAAAAATGAATGGAATACTTGGCTGCAAAAAATAAAAAATAAAAAATAAACGCTTGGCTACAGAAAAAAGAAAAATACTTGGCCATGTAAAAAAGAATGAAACTTGGCTACAAAAATAAAATGTGGTAGCAAATATTTGGCTATAAAGAAAGTAAAAATGTATACTTAGACATAGAAAAAATGAATAATTGGCTATGAAAAAAAAAAAAAAAG